TTTTACTAAGGTAATATAATAGCTCAACAGAAGGAATCTGTCATGCATCTAACTGGAAAGCCACCTAGCTCTGTTTTCAACATTTTTAACTGGATGAGACTTGTCTTTAGGTTCAGCTTTTGGTCACAAAGTCTGCGGAGGATATGGACTGTGAACAGAGCAGTAGTTCCATGATGTCAGTATTTTTGCTCTATTGAAGCCAGCATCGGATCTGCTATATCTAAGGCATCAGAGAGAGTTGATTTATTTCTTATTTGAAAAATAATTTATAGAGATTTAGAGCTGTTCTGAGAAACCTCACTGATGCTGGAGTAAAAACACTATCTTAATGATTTTTAATTAAAAATATAAAAACCTTTTAATTAATCAGAACTCCATATATCGTTATACCATTGCCATTTGTTACATTTATGTCTAAAGTCATCTTCCATTAACACGCTCTGTTTTGGGCTGTTTAAAATGGCTACAGGTAATTTCCCTAGGCTGCAAAATGCAGAATTTCTATTGACCATTATAAGTGTTTAATAAAAGTTTAATTTTGAAATGTGTTTCCACTCTGCTCTAGAACTGAAGGATGGCATGTGATTCTGGTACTAGTCTCGGGCTTGGTCTATACAATCAAGTTTTGCCAGCAAAGCTATGAGAGCAAAGAGGGATTCATTTTCTTTAAATCATACTCCTATCCAACATATTTATGCCAGCAAATCCCATGATATGGATATGGCTATGCTGATAGAATAATCTTTCCTCTAGGTTATGCCATTTGTGGAGATGGTGAAGGACAGAACTCCTTCAGTCAGCAGGTGCTGCATTACCACTAGAGGGCTCTGCCAACATAGCCAAAGAGGCCCTCTAATATTGTGCCATGTGACTCAAAAGACCTTCATTTTGTTCCTACCTCTGCTATAGACTTCCTGAGTGATCTTAGGCAACTTATTTCATTGCATCTCAGCTCCCAGTCTGTGAAAAGGAGGTACTAATTCTTCCTTTGTCCCACGATTGCTGTTACATCTAATTATACTTTTCAGCACTATAGGTTACTTTTGTGCCAAGCACAGTCAAAACAATGATTTAGTTAGGCCTCTAGGCCTTCCTGCAAAATGAAGTTGTGTTTATTGCTGTTTCCTAGAGTGCCTTGGTGGAGTTAACAAGCCCTTTGTAAAAGAGAATCAGCTAGGCTTACTTACCATATTTTCCAATGTATAGAATACAATTCTTTTCCTGAAAAAGGAAAGCTAAAATTAGGGTGGTCTTATACACTGCAGCTATGTAAAAAAATTGAAATAATTTTAATAAAAGTTGGCCAAAACTCAATAAAATTTAGTTAAAAACTTTTCCCACAATTTTATCTTTTTTTGAGGGTGTGTCTTGTACATCACAAAATGTAGGAACATTTTCCAAATGTAATCTGCTAACAGATTAAAATTTGGGATTTAGGTTTTATCAAGGTTCCTTTTAAAGTAGTAAAGATGAAATAGACAAAATCTGCATTTCTCTGTTCTCAGTGAGGGCTTGTTGTTCTAATGCATGGGAAATCTAGGTTCGGATGTCCATTGGTATGTGTCAGTGGCAGCATTTTATAGAGGAGATGCTAGGTTAGCACCCTGTTCAGTAGATGGTGTGATGGGTGAGCACGCTGTTGTAGCCCTGTGGGGGGGCTGCATGAAATTTCTGCTAGTGAAACTCAAACAGTGACAGAATCCCAACACTCATCACAAGGCAGCTGTTGTTGGTTCTCATTCTACGACAGGGGCGGGCAATTATTTTGGGCAGAGGGCCACTTACTGAGTTTTAGCAAGCCATTGCAGGCCACATGACAGGCAGTCAGGGGCAGGTAAATATTAATTTCTAAATTTTTTAGGGGCCCTGCGGGCCGGATAGAATGGCCTGGCATGTCACATCTGGCCCACAGGCCACATTTTGCCCACCCCAGTTCTGTGAGGTACTTGGCACCCTTAACTTCTGCTGATGGCATTTATACTTTTGTCATAGGATCAGTCGCTTTACAAAGGAGAAATCCAAGAATTCTTCTCCGTGAGGCCAAGAGAAAGGGCACAAAGCCTATTGAACACCTGAGAAGGGGTAGAAGGAAAAAGTCACCAGCAGGGGAAGAGAACAGAATCTCTTTGACCTCAAACAGTGAAATAGGAGAGAAAAATAGAAGACAAATAACATTTTGCTTCCCAGCAGCCAAGAAGAGTTTGTTATTAAGGCCATTGAGGTTAAGGTGGGAGCTTCCCAAAGCAGATGGGAGGAGCTAAAATATGGCCTAAGTTCAGTTTTATCTTTCTAATCTTGAAAGATGACTAGAAGCAACCTTACACAGTAAACCTTTTTCTCAGGAAAAATTGTTGAAGAGATGCAACCTGTGCAAAAACCCCTTTGATACGCTTGTCCTGACCTGCTGTAAGGTGTGCTGTCTTATTTGTAAGTGTACCCTGTGGGTGTAACTGCAGGGATGAGCTTTCAACAGGAAGGCTTCTCATTATGCATATACTGTCCTGCCAGCTCTGAGATTTGAGGTTAGCAATGAACTCAAGAATCTGGGCAAGTCAAGGCTAAGCAAATCTCATACGTGATGGAACCAGTTCCCAGTGAAGTAGGTGGCAGATGCATTTTCTGTGTTTAATCATCCTTTTTTGGTGCCAGTTGCTGGAGGTGGCTCCAACAGCAGCAAGAAATGTGCCCACTCTGGCAAAATAATGATTCTGCAGTAAGTGTCATCAACTCTCGGAGGAATTAAAATGTAGCAAGAACACTAGGTAAAATTTTTATACTCAATGTTGCTACACTACTTCAACTTCACTACTTTGCTGTCATTAGCCCTTTTAAAATAATACATCCCAAGCAGCCTGTGAGAGCATAGAAGAGACTCATTTGTTTGAATTTGCCAAAAGTCCAATTTAATGGTGAAGTATGACAACTTTATACACATGATGAAAAAGAAAAAAAAAAAGGAATATATTTAAGTTAGCTAAATAATGCTAATGCTAAACAATAGTTCTGTTATGACAGACATGTTTCCTGGAAATCTCCCTGTAAACGAGTTGGTGTGCCTGCCGCTTTGTAGGCTGGCTGTGCTCCCCTGGGAACTCCTTAGTCAGTCCTTGTAATACAGACAATAGTCCTTACCCCAAACAAAAAAATGAGTAAACTAAGAACTTAACCTTTCTCCAGGTGGTAGAAGACACTCCTGTAACTCTGGCCCCTTAATAGCAAGCTCTTCTGAGCTCTAGGCTACTTTCTGGCCACAAAATGCTCCTTCCCAACTCAAGCTTCTTGCTGTTTCTCCCCTTGGGCTTCTAGCTGGCAGCTAATCACTCACAGCTGGACTCTTCACCCAGGCCTCCTTGTCTCCCTTAAAGGGCCAGATCCCCTTATTACATAACTCACTGTTCCTTATTCAATCCCCCTCCTACCCTTCAAGAAGTTGATGCTGGCATGTGTTGCTCCAGGGTGATGATGGATATAGAGTGAATAGGACTGCAACACTAAGTACCAACGTGTGAACCAGGGGTTGGCTTCCTTCACATATAGCCACATCAGGGGGGCATGGTCCATGACTAGAGTAAAGGGGGTCCTGAGGAGATAATAGTGGAGGGCCTTGATCACTCTTTTAATCACAAGACACTCCTTCTCAACCACCAACTATTTGTATTCTCAAGGAAGGAGTTTCTTGCTTAGCTACAGAACCAGGTGTTTTCCATCCTCAGAAGTCCTGCAAAAGCACAGCTCTGAGGCCTTCCTCTGAGGCAACCATTTATAGGATGAACCTCCAGCAAAACTGTAGACTGTATAATCCTGGGGTGGTACACAGAATTCACTTTATCTCCCAAAAGGTTGCAGGTGTGAGTAATCACTTCACTATTTTGGGTGCTGTCTGATGATGTGTAGCTGTCAGTGGGGCAATAAATGCCAAAAATTGTCGGATAGCTTGTGGTAGCAGCAGGCTAACCCTAGAAAGAACTTCAGCTGCATTTTAGATTTGGTCATGGGGGACTTCACCTTGTTGACAAGGGGTCTAATCTCCCCATTCCCAAGACATACCCCAAATACTTAATTTCCCAGTGCTGGATTCGTCTGATTTGCTCGCAGGCCTGTAGCCTGAAGTGATTGTAACAGGGCCCTAACCCAGTAAAAGTGTTCCTTCCAAGTACTGGTAAACACTGCTATGTCACTGAGGTAGGCTTCTTCATACACACAGTGGTGTCTCAGAACCTGTCCGTCAAGCACTGGAAGGTGACCCAGGTGCTGTGGAGACTGAAGGGGAGAGTCTTAAATTGATAGAGCCGCCAAGATGTTGTAAATGCAGTTAGCTTGTGAGATTCTGGAACAAAGGGGATTTGCCCATACTCTTTTGTCTGTCAGACTGAGCACTGATTTATATTTAGTATTACCCAGATATTTGAATTAATTCATTGACTCTTGGCATTGGATATGTGTCCAATTTCTGTACTGCATTTAAGTCTTGGGATCCATTCTGATGGCTAACAGCTGAGGGCTGCCTTCATTCTCCGCCACACGTAAGCAGGTTGGTCTGCCTGCTGCCTCATATGCTAGCTTTGCTCCCCTGGGAGCCCCTCAGTCAGTCCTCCTTAATACAAAAAAAAAAAAAGAAAGAAAGAAAGAAATCCTTGCCCCAAACAAACAAACAAGTAAAGCAAAACCTGAATCTTTCCCTAGGCACTAGGAGAGGCCCCTGTAACTCTGGCTTCATAATAGTTAGCTCTTCTAGGTTCCAGGCTGCTTCCTGGCCACAAACTGCTCCTTCCCAGCTCCCCTTACTCAGTCTCCACTTGGGCTTTTAACTCCCAGCTAATCACGATCACCCACAGCCGGGCTCCCTTAAAGGGCCAGACTGCCTTGTACACTTCCGTATTTTTTGTGGCAGTTTTGTATTTGGCTTTTACAGTAAATTATATTCTAAATACAATATTTAAGTAAAACTGTATAAAATTGTTACTACTGAGCATTTTTTCTCTCTTGCTTCTGCCACGTAGGAAGGAATAGTGTCTCCAACTGATTTAGACCTCGTAATGTCTGATGGACTGGGAATGCGGTATGCCTTTATAGGGCCATTGGAAACAATGCATCTCAATGCAGAAGGTATGTGATTTTAAATGTAATAGTTTCTGAGGTAAGGATTTCATTGCATAAGGTTTTGCTAATATTGTCTTATTAATTCAGGCCAATGTAAGGTTGACTATCAACATTACCTTTTTCTCTTTTCATAATTATAAGGCACATCATATGCCTTAGAATGAAATAAAAGGGGATAGAGCTTAAATAATCTTTCTTCTGAAACCCCGGTTAAATATGTGAGCTGAAATGCCAGTAATTTAGTTGGAATTTCCAATGTTTGTCCCAAACCCTTTCAAGTGTGCATTTGATTCAGGACTGTCTTAAGACCAGCAAAAGAAGGGGAAATTCACAAGAGGCTTATGTGGGAGACTCTCTGCAGATGTGTGCGAAGGCTTTAGGTTAATCCAGCGCTTAGGAAAAGTGTGGCTGCTCTGAGTGTGGCACATGCAGTCTCTTGGTTAAATTGCTTCAGTTGATCGATTAACCAGTAGAATATTTCACCTGGCAGAGCTGTATAGTTGTATTGGCAGAGTTGTACTGCCACGCAGCACATGCACAAATGGCAGATCGAGGAATAACCTTCAGGAAAGGTGAGCTATAAATCAAGCAGGGGTAACTGCCAAATAAACAACCGTGGACCAAGCAGCAGCAGCACCACCACAATGTGGTGGGGACAGCAGATGGCAAAGCTTTCCCTCCTGAAAAGCCACACATATCCTTTGACAGTGCTGTAACTTGGTGAGTATAGGTCGCTGCCATAATGATAAGCCTGCCCAGCCCCCAGCCATGGGTCTACAAGTGCTCAACAGTGGAGCAGGCAAAAGATGTTAGAATCTCAATGGCTGCAAAGATGGACAAAGGCTGCAGCAGGATATGATCTCCAGTTGCCTTGGCCTTCTTGCCATTGGTTTAAGGCTCTATTCTGTCAAGAACCATGTGGAAGCTGATGTGCAGCAGTTTCTCCACAATAAAAGAAATCACACACAAGCGTTTTCCATGAAAATGACTTTTCTAGCACATTTTTCAAACACTGTGGCGACCAGCTAGTAATGACAGGAGCAGGACTATGAGGTCTGAAAGCTCCTAGTTATGAACTGGCATGAAGGCAGCAGTTACAAGAAGGTTATCTAGCATTTGGATTAGGCAGAGTGCAATTTGGCAACTGTAACTGCGACTGATCAGCCCTCTTTAGGATCTGCTCTGCTCACCCCACATGGGCTAGAAAAGGTGCCCCAAACATAACTTGTTTACCTTTTTTCTGACTGGATAACTGCATCCAGTGGAATCACCTTTATTGCAGTCAAAATCAACAAAGACACACAATCAGTTTCAGGACCTGAAACATCAAGACCCTGATGGACAATCCTAAAAGTGAACATCCAGAGCACCACACTGAGAACGCAGGCAACACAACATCATTGTTGCTGCCCTGAGCAAGACCCAGCGAGCAGGAGATGGGCAGCTCAAAGAACAAGGAGGTGACTATACCTTTTTCTGGAAAGGTAAACAGGAAGAAGAACACTGGCTTCACAAAGTTAATTTTGCCATCAAGAATGAACTCATAAATCAACTCAATAAGTTCCCTATTGGAATTAATGAGCATCTCATCCAGGGATCCTGGTTTTCTCTGTTAAAAAAAATCCAGAATTCTCTGATTACAAAACGCAGAATCCACGTTTTTCCGCAATTAAAATGAAATGCCATATATATATATATATAGGTATCAATTGAACACAATGTTTTATTGATATATTTACAGTCTTAAAGCAGTTTGGAAGCCTCAATCTTTATAACAAAATAAATTCTAAATACCTATATATTTTGGCATTTGGTTTTGGTATTTTTATTGTGGAAAATCAGAGCTCCCACTTCCCCCTTTGCTCACTAGGACGCTGGTCAAGCTGTGGCTGTCCCCACTGCTGCTTTGTGGTGCTGAACAGCCCTGATATGCCAGTGCCCTGCCCATGCCCATGTCGTTGCCCCTCACTCCCAAGCCACAGCCACCACAGCCCTGTTGGTGACCCTCACTCCTGACCCACAGTCCCCCACCACCCCTGGCAGTGCCTCGCTCCCAACCCACAGTCCCCTGCCGTATGAAGAACAGGTGGTGGGAAGACAAGGCAAAGGAGATTCGACATCTTGCTGAAATCCACGGTATGCACATTTTTTTCAATGCCACCAAAGTCATCTACAATCCAAACACTCAGATACCAAGCCCCTTGAGACCTAAGGATGGAGGAAACCTGATCAAGGAAGGGGGAGCCATCAACACCCATTGGAAGAAGCATTTTGAGGACCTTCTCATAGATTCATAGATTTTGGGGTCAGAAGGGACCTTAGCAGATCATTAAGTCCAAACCCCTGCCCTGGGCAGGAAAGAGCACTGGGGTCAGCTGACTCCAACCAGGTGCGTGTCTAGCTTCCTCTTAAAGACCCCCAAGGTAGGGAAGAGTACCACCTTCCTTGGAAGCCCATTCCAGATTCTGGCAATCCTTACCATAAATAAGTTCTTCCTGATGTCTAACCTAAATCTGCTCTCCATCATTTTGTGGCTGTTGTTCCTAGTTACTCCAAAGGGTGCCCTGGTAAACAGAGCATCTCCTATTCCTTGCTGCCCCCTCGGATCCAAAACCAAGCTCATGCTTTATCAAGCAGTTGTGATCCCCACTTTACTGTTTGAAGATGAGACATGGACAACATACAGGAGACATCTCAAGTCATTGGAGAAGTACTGTAAATGCTGCCTGCGGAAGATCCTTCAAATCCAGTGGGAAGATAGACACACCAACATTAGTGCCTTTTCACAAGCAAACACAATGAGCATCAGGGTGATGATCATCATTAGCTGGGCCAGCCATCCAGATGTCAACTTCAGATTTCTAAAGCAACTTCTATTCTCTCAGCTCAGTAAAGGCATACGCTGAAGAGAAAGGTAGAGAAAGTGCTTCAAGGACATCTTCAAGGCTAACTTGGAAAAAATGTGACATCAACATCAACTCATGGGAGACCATCACCCAGGACTGCCCCAGATGGAGGAAGAATCTGCTGCAAGGATCTCAGTACTTTGAAATCTTATGATGACAACAGGAGAAAGAAAAATGGGAGCGGCAGAAACAACATATCGTGGACCAAATTAAGAATTCGGAGCCACTCACCCCTCATGAAAATGCATGAGAGTTGCAGTAGAATCTGTCAATCCTGGATCAGCCTCCTTGGCCATCTTTGGACCCATAGATAAGACAATCATGGACAACAATCATCCTCGACTGTGAGGGACTGCCGAAGAAGAAGACTATGTTTCTCATAAATTCTTAGGCTGTGATGCTGCATAATAAAATAACACAGCACTCACCCCCTCTCCCTCCACTGCCAGAACATGGGTCTCCATATGGCAGATTTTGGCAACAGACCCTTATTTGGCTTACCTCACCTCCAATTTCTGGACCCTTCCAAGAGCTCTGCAGGCTGGATGAAATGGTTCCACGGGCCAGCCCTGGGTCCCAGGCAGTATCTTTGATGCACAAAATACATAAATTATATAGATATTTTCTTGTAGTTTAGTACACAGAGAGAAGCTCGATAATGATATATCTATATAAGTCTTTATCTGTTATATGACTTTTAGCTTTTCCTTTCAATCACGTAATTAAAATAACTTGTCTCTAAATTATCTTGACTCTAAATATAGAAACAAGTGCTCTTGTTTCTAAACTGCGTTTGTGTTTTGCAGCTGACATGTATCTGTGAATGTTCTGTTGGCTAGCAACCTTATGGTCAGGCATTTCGCTCCTAATGAACTGTTAAGATGGCTAAAGTCTTTTTGGCCAAAGTTATGTAGGCAGGATAAAAAATAGATATATTCATCCGTGGTGTGGTGAGGCAGTTATTTCTGCTTTCACTTAACTCTCAATGTTGCACTAAACAGCTTCTGGTTATGGCAAAAGTGCTTGTTAGTATCAGAAGGCTTTTAGATTTTTCAAAGAGAACAAACTATACTTTGGTATACATACAGTGTTATTCTTACAATTAATAAAATATTGATGTAGATTTAGAGCCTAGCAACCTTACTCGTTTGCTGCAATTTAACACATAATAGACATAATACATTCAAACAGCATAGTACAAACTACACAACTCAGCTTTTGCTTCCTCAGAATGCCATGGCTTGGAATCTTATTCATAATTCACCTGTGTGTCTTTCCCCTGTGCAAGAAACACTCATTGTCATTAAAAGTTTTGCAAATAACATTAATCAGTTCTTGTTGGTATTTTGGACTGTACAGTCATTGCTTTTCTGACCTGAAAAAGTAAGTTATATCAATGCAGAGATTACTCCATTAGCAAATTAATACTAAGCTTGCTAAACTAACAGCCATTAGTGATGGGTCAGATCAGGGGAGAAAAAGAAAGGCCTGCAGACTGATAACTTAGCTGCAAAAGTAAATCCGGCGACAGGTTTGCAGTAGCATGTGGAAAAACACTATATTGGACTTCAGAGGGCACATCTAAATGAGCCATCTACTGTGGTGGTGCCCAGTTAGCCCCCTAGTAAATGTCTCACATTTACACGTGCAGTGCTATTAGGTCTCAGGAAACTAATAAACTCTGCAGCAGGGTAGTGCTTTTAAATACAAGTACTATCCTACTGTGAATTTATTTACTGTGCACCAGTGCACGTGTAGATGCTGACCTGGGAATAAATTGCTCTTGGTTAGCCCAGCCAGCAGGGAGCCACACTCCTGCCTGCTGCCTAGCCATATGGCTTGGCAGCTGCAGGAGCCTCGTTGCCCAGTCAGCTCCTCTGTTGCTTTACACTGCTACTCAGTGCCGAGGGCTGACCCCCAGTGCTCCCTGCCAGCTTAGGGCTAGCACCCAGGCAGCTGTGGCTGGAGCCTGCAGCTTTCCCTAGCTGCTGCAGTGGGGCAGAGCAGGGTAGAAACAGGTCTGGCCTAACCTGCTCGTCCCCAGCTCAGTTTGCATGTAGGTAGACACTGTGCCTGAGAAGAGTTTATTCATTCTCATTA